ATATATGAGAGATCACCTTATCCAGCGCAATAGCTAACAAATAGTAAAGTCGAAACAAAATGGGAAATGAGCATGGATATAATGAAAGTATATTATTTGCATGTACAAATATGCCTTTATTCTGTATCATTAAAATGCAGTAATTGAGTGTGTGTGTGTGTGTGTGTGTGTGTGTGTGTGTGTGTGTATCAATCCTGTTGTCTCCCTTGTATCTCTTTTTGTTGTTATATAATTGTTAGTGGGCAAATGATATATCCAAAGTAGTGGGCTGGAGTCGTGGCTCAGTGGTAGAGCACTTGCCTGGCATGTGTGAGGCACTGGGTTCAATTCTCAGCACTGCATATAAATAAATAAAAAAGGTTCATCAACAAATTTTTTTAAATGATATATCCATAGTAGTAGGCAAAACTGGGTATGGTGGATCATGCTTGTAGTCTTGTGAGAGGGGAGGATCACTTCAGCTCAGGAGTTCAAATCCAACCTGGACATCTGGGGAGACCCTATTTCAAATTGCTAGACAGATGAATGAATTTTAGTGTAACTGAATAGGAGAAGCTTGTTATGTGATTTCAAATTGCAATTAATTTTAAAAATACTACCATTTGTTGCATTTTAGTGAGGTATCAGAGATGAATTTACGCTATTATCTAAAAAGGATTTTAAAATACTCCTCCTTTTTCCATTTATATATGCATGCACTAAAGAATATTTGCAAAAATATACAATATTGCCAGTCTTCACAAAATTTTTTTCTCCTTGAAAATATAATCATTTTCATACATAACAAAAATAAGATGTTATCTGATAATGTGTAATGGTTCATTTTTGTTACTTTTATCTGTCTCATTTGTTGTTGTTGCAATCCTGGGGATCAAAACTAGGGCCTCACACACATGAGGCAAGCACTTTCAGTGAATTACATCCCTACACTGTTATTTTTAGACGAATTATTAAAGAAATATTTTTAAATTTCTTTATAATGTTTAATATGGCAAATATTGAAAAGTACAGTGCACATTTTAAAAGCTTCTTAATTTTGAAGAATGTAAAGAGACTTTAGGGCCAAAATACTTAGGATTTCTCCTTTGTGTTCTTTTAGTAAGGGACTTCAGGTGGCAAGTCCTTAGCTTCCACCCCCTTGTTTCTGAAATATGTTTTCAAAGACAACTTATTTTTCTTTAGCAAATTGAAGATTTTATTCCACTGTCTAATAGATTTCATTATGGCTGGTTGAGAAGTCACCTATCATCTGTTTGTTCTTTCACAGTAATTTTTATCCCCCTTTGACTGCTATTCAGATTTTTCTGGTCAGTAAAGTTTTATAGCTTTGTTTTGTTATGCCTTTATATAGGTGTTATTTTATTTATCTTGCCTGGGTTTTGTTGAGCTTCTTAAATCTGCAGATTAGTATCTTTCATCAGTTCTGTAAAAGTTTTAGATATTCTTTGTTAACATTTGTCTCTGCCCCATTTTTCCTGCAGAGGTGTGATCAAACATGTATTAATTAGATCTTTCTGTTGTATTATCTTTGCTTCTCCAGGTTATACTCTAGAAAGTTTCTTGTGTTCTACTACTCAGTTTATAATTCTGTTTTTATTTCTAATCTACTTTTAAATCTACCAAATGAGTTTTAAATCTGTTACTGTAGTTTTTCATTCCTAAGTCTGTGTGGGCCTTTTCAAATTTGCTGGGTTACTCATCATAACTTTCTGCCACCTGCAGATATTTTCAAGCTTTGACTTTTTTTTCTTAACATTTAAGCAGAGTTATTTTAAAATTGTTAATTCTATTAACTGTGGTCTTTATATAAGTCTCTGTTTACTGGCTGTTATATCTCCTTGTTCTCCCTGATGTTTCCTCACATCCATATGTGTCTGATTTTCTTTATTTATGTATTGCTTTTTTTCTTAAATATTTACCTGTATTAATAATATGAGGCCTATATTTTAACTAAATTCCTTTCAGGATGATTGGTGCTGGGTACTTTTATGCATTATAAATCCAGATTACTTTAAATATAAAATCCTAGAACATGAGAGGTGTACATTAGATTCTGATTCATTCTCACCTTGTTTCATAGCCCTTTGGACACCCTTAATATGAATAAAGATTTCTGGTAGACTTTCTACTTTTTACAGGTCCTGGGCTTTGATATATCTTCTTTATCAAAACAAAAATTATATTTGCCTAATGTGTAAATTCCCTCAGGACAGAAACATCTGTTCTGATCTCTCTGGGTTCTTGCTTTTCCCTTTAGTTTTGATTCCAGAATCCATGTATTAAACTATTATGGATAAGAGCATTCAGAAAAAGTATGTTTTAGAATTTTAGAGAATTCCTCCCCTCTAGACATAAATGCATAGCAATAACTTTGCATTCCTATTTTGTATGTAAGGCAAACCTTATTAGCAAGCACTGAGAGGCAGTGTAGGATACCTGTTAAGGTCAGACAACCTAGTTTAAATCCTGCCTTTTCACATAGTAATCTATATAAATTTATTTACTCTCTCTGCCTTTGTTTCTCATATGCACAAAAAGAATAATAGCTTACCTTATTTATCATGAGTATCAAATGAGGTAAAGCAAGTAAACATTTAGCACAGTGCCTAGCCCAGAATTGGCTTTCTGGTGGTTAGAGAATCTGGGCACATAGTAAATGCTCAGTAAATATTCACTATTAATTATATTATGCATTTATCAAGTGTCTCCTGCAAAACAGACCTGTTAAGTTATCTTAGCCTTAGCCCCATCCAAATTAGGAAGGTAATCATACTTGTAGGAAATAAGCAGGAAGCAATTAGACAGCAATAATTGAGGGTTTTGTTGGTGGTGGTATTATTTGGATGTTAAGGATTAAACACAGAGCCTCAAGCATGCCAGTCACATGCTCTACCACTGAGCTGCACCTCCAGCTCTAGTAATTGGTTATTTACTTAAATAATGGTGGACTTACTGGAATGATTTAATATTTAAAGTCTTTACCTATATTGAAATTCTCTCTACATCCMTCTGAGGCAACTGTTTATTTTCACTTTGAAAAAAAAAAAGCAGGGAGGGCCTTGGAAGTTGTTTTAGTTAGCAGAGAGGAAAAGTTTATTTTGACTCACAGTTTCAGAGGTTCAGTCCATGGTTGGCTGACTTCATAGCTCTGGGCCCAAGATAAGGCCCATATCATGGCAGAAGGATGTGGCAGAAGAAAGCCAGGACATGACAGGAAGCAGAGAGAGAGCTCCACTCACCAGGAACAAAATAAAGGCACACCCCCAGTGGCCTGCTTCCTCCAACCACACCCTGTCTGCCTACAGTTACCACCCAGTTAATCCATTATCAGTGGCTTAATCCACACTCAAGTTACAGCTCTTAGAACCTAATTATTTCACCTCTGAACATACCTGGATCATCTCACACCTGAACTTTTGGGGAACACTATATCTTAAGTGTGGAATAACAGTGAGAGATTAGTGCAGTGGCTTTGTTTGTTTGACTATTTGACTATTTTTGTGGTGCTGAGGGATGAAAACCAGGGCCTTACACATGCTAAGCAGGTGCTTTGCCACTGAGCTACATATAGTTATTCCTRTTTTGTGTTGTTTTGTGTGGTGGTACTAGGGATTGAACCCAGGAGCACTTTACTACTGAGCCATATCCCCAGCCCATTTTATTTTTTATTTTAAGACAAGGTCTCAGTAAGTTGCTTAGGGCCTTGCTGAGTCACTGAGACTAGCCTCAAATTTGTGATCCTCCTGCCTCAGCCTCCAGAGTTACTTGAATTACAGGCATGCACCACTGCACCCAGTGTTACAGTCATTTTAGAAAGCAGCTTAGTGATGGTGAGGAGTGGCAGTTTGTGGCCCAGCAACTTTATTTCTTGAGGTAAAGCTTAGGGAAATTCTTAAGCATAATTACAAGCTAACATGTAACATTTACAAGTGAATATGTTCTACCTTTAGTAGGATGGTAGACCAAAAAAAAAGTCAGCTTTTTCATACCATGGAATATTATATAGTAATTTAAATAAATAAATCATATAGATCTATGTATATCAACATGTATTAATTAAGAGACATGAGTAAGTGGGAGCTAGGTGTGAAGGTGCATGCCTACAATCCCAGCTGCTCAGGAGGCTGAGGCAAGAAGATCACAAGTTGAAGACCAGCCTGAGCAACTTAACAAGGCCCTGTCTCAAAATTTAAAAAGGGCTTGATAGAGCATCCCTGGGTTTGATTCCCCAGAATTGCAAAAAATTAAAATTAAAAAACTTAAGTGGGAGGGCTRGGGCTGTAGCTCAGTGGTAGAGCACCTACCTCGCACACGTGAGGCACTGGGTTCAATCCTCAGCACCACATAAAAATAAATATATTGTGTCCATCTACAACTAAAAAATATTAAAACTAAGTGGGAAAAACTGGTTACCAAAGGATAAATATAGTGAAGTGCTGTTTCCATATACCTTAAAACACATCAAATATAACACTGTGAATTGTTTCTGGATATCTACAAAGGCAGAATTACAAAGAACAAAAATTTAAAAACACACCTGAGGAGGAGTGACTACAGGAGGACAGAGGGAGACTCATCTGAAACAAACTTAAGGCCAGGAATGTTCTCAAAGAGGCATGTCACTCACAGTTGCCTTCACTGACCACAAGGGTTACATTGCCAAACCTGAAGCCAACAGAGAGTGTATGGTTCAGCCACAGGAAACGACAATCCACCTATTATATTTCGATGAAAAAGCCATGTGTATTGTGTACAAAAAAAAAAAAAAAAAACCTGAATAATGAACCATTGGGGGACAATTTAGGAAGATAAAAATCAGTCTGAACAAGTTGAGGTAAATTGATAAAGGCCTTGAAATCTGAGTTTTTTAACTGTCTCTGGACTCCTAAAAACATATTTTGCTACTAAAGGAAGAAAGTTACTTTGTGATAATTTTTTTTAAATATGTGGTTTGATTTAATTATCCCATTTTGATTTTTTATTTTCTCTTTTGTCAACAGTGTCATCAGCAAAGTGGTTCCAGCCCCCGAGGCTAAGCCAGCCCCTTCTCTGAATAGACCTAAAACCCCACCACCAAACCCAGCCCCTGTACCTGTGCATGTCAGCCCTACGCCCCTACCATTGCCACTCCTCGCCCAAGCCACAGCGTGCCCAGCTCTGATGCCATCTCCATCCCCTGCCATCTCTGGAGCAGGAAGCTCCAAAGCCCCTGTGCGAAGTGTGGTGACTGAGACGGTCAGCACCTATGTGGTATGTATGTGTACTTCATTTTCATAGTAGTGAAGAGAGCATTACTTGAGAACCTGTCATGAGTGATATGTATATGTCATCATTGAATCTTGGAGGCAACTCTTCAGGACCAGAAAAGTATTTTCATTGCATTTTTGAGCTTTTGGTTAAAAAGCATTATGTTTGCATATTCAGTCTCCATGAATAATTTCAAAGTATTGTTTTTCATTCCTTTGTATTATTTTGGAATATGACCATATTCCTATATACAGTAATCTCAATGTGGAAATTATATAGATGAATAATGAAATTTAAATTCCATGTTGAATTTCTTGATCAAACAATTAAATTATTCACTTAAGAATATAATTTATGTAATATACATAGATTTCATGAGCCAGCTGGTATTTCTGAGTTACAGCACTAATTATATTTTATTGGCAAGATCCAGAATATTAAATGGAAATGAACTTTTTAAGACACAGAGCTTCCTGAGTATCCAGGAAGCTTTAGATGTAAAACCCACCATGTTGAATGAATCCACATTGTCCCAGGATTCTTTTTAGGTGTTTTCCCCATACTCAACAGTATCAGATTTTATTCAAACCCTTAATCCAATCTAGTAATAAAGTATTTATGAAGTTAAATTCTTAGAACTAGAGATGTAKCTCAGAGGTCAATTGCCTGCCTCACTTGTCCCTAGGTTCAATCCAGTACCGCCAAAAAAAAAAAAAGAGAAGTTAAAAAAATGGAAATAAGATAAGTTTTGTGGGCACTGTAGAGTACACACACACACAATAAATGTTTTTGATGGATTGAAGCATTGACATTGTATGGCTCCAGCTATGGAGGCTGGGATGCATAGCCTAATGATGGATGGCATTGTGGGAAGTGKTCGGGGGACTCATAGCATCTCTTGCTATGAACCATGAAACATTACATGCTTCAAGGAGTTAAGGTAATTTCAGCAAATCATTAAATATTTGAAACTCTCCAATGAAACAAAGAAATATAAAAAAGAAAATATTAACTATATTCAGAGAGAATACAGTATGAAAAATTTATGTAAGTATTGCCAATTCAAGACAAAATAGAACATGTGATATAAAAAAAATTGTGATCATCAGATTAAGTAATTCAAGGACCAATTGCTATAGGTATTTAATCAAGGCAACATCATTCCACGTGTATTGATTGGGAAAGATTTTATACTTGATATCCTCAACCTCCATTTGTTTATAGTGGATGTTTGAGCTACTCTGTGGAGATGGGTCTGATTGGAATAGATAGTGTGGTTCAAAAGCCTTCTAACTCCTATAGAGACACTTTGTAGACAGAATGTGTGATTAGGGCAAAAAGGCTGATTTTGTTACTGCCTAATAGTATGATGTTAGAGATGTTACCTAAATTCCGATAGTTTTGGTTTTTTCATTCTTAACTTATCCAAAGCTTGTTTTACAACGATTAAACAAAGTAGTAGTATACATTTGAAAGAACTTAGTAAACTGTGAAGTARTAGATGTAATTATGGATGCTATGCTAAATTTCTTATGTAGCACAGTCTCAGCTTGATGATTGCAAGAAAGGCCAATCAACAGCAGGACTGGCCATGCACGAGAGCTTGAGGGCCTAGGATGCTAGAGCAGTGTCAGCCACTGGAGAGCTGGTGTAGGGTGTCTGTGGATTCTCTCCCTGATAGTTTCCCCTGAAATTAAAGAGGGCTAGGTCAGAGCTACTTACAAGTTTCTTTAGGAAGTTTTTATATCAGTGTAATTGGCCTTCTAGAGATTTAAAAAAAAAAATAGTTGAATTTAGCTGGGTGCAATGTCACAGTCCTGTAATTCTGATGACTCAGCAGGTTGAGGCAGGAGGATCCCAAATTCAAGGCCAGTCTCAGCAATTTAGCGAGGCCCTAAGCAACTTAAAGAGACCCTGTCTCAAAATTAAAAATTAAAAAATGGGATGAAGATATGGCTTGGTGATCAGGTGCCCCTGGGTTCAATCCCCAGCACAATAAATAAATAAATACAGGATTTTAAGATTTAGCTTTTACTTATTGCCTTTATGCCCATATTGTAGAAGTATTTTCCCCAGATTCATTTTGATAATGTGAAATTTGAGGAAGTAGTAAAATTAAGGACGCTTCCTATTTAGAATGCTAAATTAATAAAGTAAATTAGGACCTTCAATATGTATAGCAAAATCATGTTTAAATGTGTAGCTCTTTGGCCTCCTGAGCCCCTTATTTATTTCATTTGCCCTTTAGTTGATTGTACTTTTCTAAAAATGTCATAAAGGGAATGGAAAGTTACTTAGTAACCACTCTTTTATATCCTTGATCTTATCATCTAGTTCAGGGGAAGGGTTTGGCTAATGAGTAATAAGGGGACACCTGCACATGGGCCGTATATATTAATCCCATGCTTAGGAATGTGATTGGGGAAACTACACACAGTTGAGCTCTGTAGGTTTCAAAAATATTGTTACTGCCATAAAGACCCTAATTGTTAAAAATTTGTGGTAAAGGGTTTTTTTTCAGATGAAGATTACAGGTCATATGCTCATAGATACTATATAAATACTTTGTTTCTTTATGACTCAGAAAACAGAGTTTAGGATATTCATTAGAAATGTCTTATCGTTGATCACTTAGCTATTTTCTTTTTCACACAATTCCAGAACACTGATGATCATGATCATGGCTTTGGAAAGTGCTAATTTGTCAGCTTATTAGGCTTACAAGGATAATGTCATAATTCTTATCTGGTCTCTTTTCGGTTCTTCTTMCCCACTCCCTGTCTTTGTTCCTTTCCCTTGTGATAACGTCAGATCCGAGACGAGTGGGGCAATCAGATCTGGATCTGTCCTGGGTGTAACAAACCTGACGATGGGAGTCCGATGATCGGCTGTGATGACTGTGACGACTGGTACCACTGGTGAGTGTCTCAGAGCACCTCCAGCCACACTTGGTGGCTGCTGTTTAGTCAGGACAGCACAGGACACTCCTGAGAAGTGTTTTGCAGAGTAGCTTAGTGCCTTCAGGCCACCCTCAGAGCAGTACTTAAAGTAAAATCATGGAGCACAGAAAATGATATGAAGTTCAAAAACCAAGAGTACTATTGTTATTCAGCCTCAATTCTGGGTATTTTGCTTATCTGTCCTTTTTGTGAAAGTAAATTCGAGGAGAAACACCATGCRTTTCTCCATCAGCCAGGAAGGATAGTGGTGTGGAGGACAGTAACTGCTATGACTTCTGCCATGACTTTTATGAAACCTCAGATGCAGGGTCTTCTGGCCAAGCATCTGTGGTTTTCTATTATTGGAGCTTTCATGGTCATCCTAGGGTTGCAGCTCTCTGTAGTTTGTGACTGAACTAAGAAAGAAGGTATGTGGAGATTTCTTAAGAAATTATGATTCCATAGAAGATCTTGAAGAGATGAAGAGGGCTGGTGTTTTTCAGAGTGTAAAGTGATTTTTGGAATATAAAGAATTTTTTTGGAGTGAATTCCTTAGAAGTTTGTAACTGACTTATGCTCCTGAACTATAAAACATGAATATGTGGGCTTAGGAGTAGTTTTTCTTAGTGAATAAACAAGTAACAAATGCTGTGAGGGAAAAAAAATGAGAGGAAGCCAAGTGTGGGTGGGTGCACACCTATACTCCCAGTGAGGCTACAATAGTAGCATCACAAGGTCCAGGCCAGCCTCAGAAATTTAGTAAAATCCTTTCTCAAAATAAAAAGGGCTGGGCATATGGTTCAGTGTACAAGATTCTGTGTTCAATCCTCAGTACCACAAAAAAAAAAAATGAAAAATAAAATGTAAGGAGACATGGTGTTTCCCTTTCCTTCCTCTCCACTAATGTTCTGTAAGAGCTACGGTACCTGAAAAATCCCATTAAAAGGTGACCCCTTAGTAAACTTGGTACAAACTGGAGAAATAAAGACAGCTTATGTGTTTTTTAAACCTCAAAACTGAAGAAATGTGACCAAAATATTTACAATCTTCTTAATTTATCTTTGAGGTATCAGATTTTAAAAGATGTCTGTTCAGTTATGATGTATTATATCTATAAAATAAAAACAAAGCCACTGCTCAGAAGAATTACACTATTCCTGGCTGAAAGAATGAACAAACTGGGCTGGGGATGTGGCTCAAGCGGTAGCGCGCTCGCCTGGCATGCGTGCGGCCCGGGTTCGATTCTCAGCACCAATACAAACAAAGATGTTGTGTCCACCGATAACTAAAAAATAAATATTAAAATTTAAAAGAAAAAAGAAAAAAGAATGAACAAACTAATTAAGCCCTCCATTGGGGCCTATAAAAGAGGCACTATAAAGTATAATCAAGTGCCCAACAATAGTGCTGCATAAATTCAAGCCATTTGACTTTGATTTCTGGTAAATATTTCATAGATTTAAAGAATTATTATAAAACGTTGAAAGAAAAAGAATAAGCATATATAAAACTTGTTTCTTTGGATGTGTCTTTAACATCAGGCCCTGTGTGGGAATAATGGCTGCACCGCCAGAAGAAATGCAGTGGTTCTGCCCCAAGTGTGCCAACAAGAAGAAGGACAAAAAGCACAAGAAGAGGAAGCACCGAGCACACTGACCTCTCCATGTGGACTGGACCAAGCAGTGYCAGCTCAGGCTTTGTCCCTGGCATCTCTGGAGGGGAGCTGGCGCAGTTCCGCATCACGTGCCCCAGTCTCCGTAGACAGTGAATCTGGGAAGACTGAGGACAGCAACGCGCCATCCACTCTTGATCTTCCCTTCTGAACACACTGGCCTGTGGTTCGGTGGTGGTGTGGCAGGAAGAACTCTACAGTAGAAGCGTGGCCTCAGGGCTGCCACCTCCATTTTTCTATTACCAGTGACAAGTATTATTAATAAAAAGACCATACATCTTCCCTTTTGATTTCCTTCATTCTCTCCAGGGCCTTTTCATTAAGGTATTAGACGAGAAGATAATGTGTAAACTGCCTTGACTGTAATTTAAGGATGATATCATTAGTCTRTATACAGTTTTCAACTTCTCTCCCTCTATAGTAAGATAATCAGAATAACATAAAAGAAAACTCCAGTTGGAGTACTGGTAAATATTTTTGTGATGAGAATATATGAAGCTTCCCCCAACCCCATTTTTAGTACTAACATGTAAAATGTTCAGGCTTTTGTGAAATACCTTATATTTTTTAAGAAAAAGGTTTCTATCATGTCCTGTTTGCTTCTGCGCAAATTATTTTTGTTTAACGTATTTTATATCTCTGTTGCATTCTAATTTTGCCCTTTAAACTGCCGGAGTCACTTCTCACTGCTTGTACATTTCACCAACTTGTATAAAAAACTCTTCATACTAAAAAATTTCCCTTAATGTAAATAATAAATATTTATGAAGTAGTTATTTTTTAAATTTTTATCGTGTTTAATTCTGGCTTTCTCTGAAATCCACTGTGATTTCAGCCATGTCTGTAATTACTGCTGTATATAAATAAGCAAAGAGACTAGAGAAAAAGAGCCATAGTTCAGAGTAATTTACCTTGAGTTGAATGGACCCGTGCAGTGCCCAAAACATTGTGGGGGAAAAAGGACCCTAGCAGTTGGAAGGAAAACAAAGCAATTTAAATCTAGAGTTTATGATTTGAAATTGTTTTGTTTGTTACCTGTTTTGGTTTTGTAAATTTCTTTGATATTAAAAGGACATGTAGGTTCCATGAAAGTAAAAAAAAAAAAAAAAATACTGTAGCATTTTGTGTTTATATTGTTTTATTTCTACAAATTTGTTCATTGATATTGTGCTTTAAGGCTGAAATGAAGTATATTATGAATTTTTTTTAAAAGAAATCTCATCAAATTTCAGGGTATCACAAAACTTTATTATATTACTATACTGCCCACTATTTATTATATGTTATAGATATCTGAAAGGTAAACCAAATATTTTATTTTTAATGTAAAAACATCAAATTTAACTTTATCAGCATATTTTAGCAACTTTGAAATAAATATGGACTTTTACTTGATTTTGAAATAATCCCAATTTGGGCCGTGTAATGGATATCTTGAATATTAGATATGGGCTTTGAACCTAATACAAATATATTAATAGAAAATGTGATTTTTTTATTGCCAAATCAATTGATATTAATGTGTGAATTAGTCATATTTTAAAACATTATGTGATTACAGAAATGTGGTTTTTCTGCCATGAATGTTAAACTGCAAATCAGTGGAAATGGAGTAGACCTTTTAAGAGTGCAGGATATCATTACCCTCCTTGTTCTAGAGGCCAGAATTTTTCTATCCCTTAAAAACAACAAAGCATCTATGTTGAGATATGTGTTTTTTGTTTTATTAATTTGAGATCATTCTAAATACTTTATACAGTATTTTCACATGCACAAATATACCCATTAGTGCTTTTTGGAGAAGGATGAGGGGTGGGGGAAGTGCGAAATAAAGATTATTGGCTATTTCATAGTTTGCTTTTCCATTTTCTTTATTTAGGATTTAGTTCCTTGAGGCATGGTCAGTGGGTCTAAAGTTGCCACGTTTAAGTGAGCAGGTCATGCTACTGAAATAATAACGGAGGTGCCTAGATAGAACTTTTCCCCCAATCCTACTGTCTGAGAGACTTCAGCCCGCACTACATTTAAGGAATTTCAATCAGTTTGTTGTCCCTTGCTATTTCATGGTTGCTTTCCTAAATCCAGTTCATGATTTTATAAATGGTCTTTGCAATAATAAAACCAAAGAATCATTTTCAGGGGGCTGGATGGCTCAAGGGATTAGTAATGGAATACAGAGCCTTTCACCTCTAGGTCAGTGAGTCGAATCCAGTCCAGGTCACTAGAGACCAAAAGTTGTCACCATCTTATGACTGTTCAGTGGCCTGTGTGAAATGAACTGGTGGTCTCAGTCTCTACTGGATGGCTGTCTGTGACACCAACCAAAGGAAGTTCAAGAAACTGACAAAAAGAAATGTGGATTAGAAAATAAAACATCTGTGTAACAAAGAAAAGTTAGAAAGTCGGTCATAGTCGATCTCCAGAAAGGAATAAAGAAGAAAAAGAGAGCAACTTATACATCACAAACATTACAGTGAGAATGGAGATTGCTTTACTTTCCTTAAATAAAGTCCAACAAAACAGGAAAAGAAAAGGCCTGTATTGGCTGAGAGAGGACAGGAATAAACTAGGGTGCATGACTTGATCATGGGAAAAACTGTAGGAAGCCGGAACAATTAGTAAAAACGGGTTTAACTTTTGAGGGAGAAGAAAGGCTCAAGCAGCAGGAATGGGAGGAGCCTCTGTGGCATGACAGAACTAGATGCGGAGGAATGAGAGGTATTTCCCTTTGGAGGGTTAAAGGTTTCCCCGTTGTGAGTAAAATGTGACCTGTTTTCATTTATCAGAGCACTGTCATTTTAGTGGCATCCATACTTCATAAAGAGAGGCAGACAGGAAAAGAGCTTACCTGGCTAGTGATTTTATTGGAGGTGATGTTATTTAAGAAATAGACACAGGAAACTGAGCTGCTCCTCTGGTGCGATAATCTGCCTTTGGGGCCAGGTGTAACTGGCAAAGCAGAATTTCTGTAGCCAACAAGGTGTTTCTCTTCCAAAGGTGTCTGGCGTTAAGTACAGTGTGGATCTTTATCCTCCGTCTGATGTGTGGTTCCAAATGTCCTGAAGAAAATCAGAGGCTATCAGAGTATTCTGACTTTGTCGGGCTTTTTTCAAGAGATAAAATATAGTGCATTACTGTGTCACCTAAACCACTTTTGTTCTCCTTTCAATAGGATGATTAAACAAAGACCTACTAACCAAATTAAAGTATAAAATGAACACTGAGATATGGAAACCTTGCCACTGAGAATGCTAATGAATGAAGTTCACTGGAGGCATGTTGGCTAAGTTTTCAATACAAATAGTTTTATGGCCAATCTCTTTAGATCATAGCAGTGTTCTTTAGAAGTGTAAGTCTAAAAGTAGATGAGTTACCTTGACTGAAGAATGAAATAGATAATGTCCTGAATAACATCTCTTTCCACAATGGTATCAGTCATTTCTGCTAGGAAACAATTTCTTTTGAGAATTTTGCATTAGTTATAGCCTAAAAAGTATAAAGTAGCTATTAATCCATGTGTGCAGGCCAGTGGAGGACATTGAAATTAGATATTTAGATGGATTGCTGGACAGTTTATTCTTCATTTCATGCGAATACAGGAAAACAATTTGTCCGGCAGTGTAGTTCAGTGGTAGAACATGTACTTAGTATACACAAGGCCTAGGGTTTGAACCCAGAGCCTAAATAAATAAATAAAACATTTAGCATACATAAGAGTTATTAAAATGGCTAGTTGCTTTTTTATCCTGGACAACTAAGTTTTTTATTTAGTTTGTAGAAGAACGCTGATAAACATTTTCATTCGCTTTCAACGTTTACTAGGAATGCTTCCTGGAAAAGATGTGTCAACCACCTCTGGCTCCAGGGGTGTGGTTTTCTGAGCCGCTGCTGTCTTCCCTAGAACATCTGCAGTTGTTCCTGCAGTTTTCCATATTAGAAGGAAGGCTGGGGTTGTGGCTCAGTGGTAGAGCTCTGACCTAGTATGTTGTGAGGCCCTGAGTTCAATCCCAGTACTGGAAATAAATAAAATACATTACACACATACATACATATATTACATCAAGTCCTAAGCATATTCCATACTTGTTCTTTTCCCATTTTTCTATATACAATCTTTCTAAAACTACAACTAGTTTTTATTTTTATTTTGGGGGTACTAGGGATTGAACTCAGGAGCACTCAGCCACTGAGCCACATCCCCAGCCCTATTTTGTATTTTATTTATAGACAGGGTCTTACTGAGTTGCTTAGAGCCTCACTTATGCTGAGGCTGGCTTTGAACTCGAGATCTTCCTGTCTCAGACTCCTGAGCTGCTGGGATTACAGGTGTGCACCACTGCACCTAGCTTTGTTTTTTATTATTAATGTAGCTTTTTGCTTATAAATGTTTATATTTACACAAAATAATTAAAAACTTAGCAAATGTTTGATTAAACTATCCTAAGAATTAGCAAAATAGATATTACATGAAAAATATATAGGTATAAAAATAGATATCCTTTACAAGATGCAAACATGTTGGACTTTCATGACAGAAGCATATTTTAGGTGCTTATGCTAGGCAATGATTTCCTACTACATCCTTGGAATCTAGCATTTATTAGCCCTTTGAAGTCTTGTGGATTTTTTTTGGTTTGGTCCTGGGTTTTTTTTGTTTGTTTTGTTTCATTGTTGCTGTTTGTTTTGGTACCATGGATTGAACCCAGGGGTGTTCAACCACTGAATCACTTTCCCAGCCCCTTTTATTTGTTATTTTGAKACAGGGTCTCAGTAAGTTTCTTAGGGCCTCACTAAATGGCTGAAGCTGACTTTGAATTTGCCATCCTCCTGCCTCAGTCTCCTAAGCCTCTGGAAATACAGGCATGTGCCACTGCACCCAGCTGGTCTTGTTTCTGATTAATGAAATATTTAGAATAAAACTATCAAGCAAAACAACAAAGACCTGAGGAATGTCACTGATATTGTCCTTAATGAGTTAACTATTACCAAGTTCAATGGTTTGAAGAAAAGGTTTGTGTTAGTTTTAGTTAACTCATTGAGAGCTATTCAAGTACTTACCAAAGGATGTTCATGTCATCCAACAATATTATCCAGTTATATTCTGATTATTTCTTATACTTTGTGGGATGGTGATAAAACTTTTTTTTCTGCTAGCTTTTAAGAAAGTAGCRTCTGTGTAATTGAATTTCTATATACCTAATAATTTCTCATCTTTACTTCATTCTATTAATTTTTTACATGGCTATTTATAACATTCACAAAAACAAATATGAGGAGCTGGGCATGTAGCTCAGTGGTAGAGTGCTTAACTACCATGTACAAGGCCCTGGGCTCCATCTCCAGCAGTGGGGAAAGAAAAAAAATGACTGGAATGTTCTGCACTCAACCATATCCAGACATTTCTCAAAAAAATGTCCATTAGTCATCTGCCTGGGCAAGGCACATTGTGTAGTGTGACGATACAAAGATGAAAGAGATAGCATGTCCCCAGTGTCCCAGAGAGCTCTTAACAGGTAATATGTCAAAAAGGGAATATATACCTCTCAAAACCAGGTACAAAGCCGGGCTTGGTGGTACGCACCTATAGTCCCAGTCAGCACCCAGGAGGCGGAGACGGGGGATCCCAAGCTTGAAGTCTGCTTCAGCAATTTAGCAAGACCAAGGGAGACAATGCGATGCTGTATCAATACATGGTGCTACTTAGATATAACAGTGGTGGCAAAGCAAGGACTTGGTCCTGAGCAGGAGTCAGAGTTACTTCTTTAAGAACAGGGAGTTTTGATGAAGAAAGAATAAGAAAGCTCAGGGCTGCTTCTAGGAAAACCGGCAATGTCATATTGCTTGATGTGGGCAACCATTAAGAGGAATCTCTATTGCATGTTAAAGCTGTGTATGTAAGTGTTAGTCATTTTCCCTGCTTATTATTATCTACATTGAAAGAAGCAAGAGGTATAGTTCAATGGTAGAGGAGGATGTGTTTAACAATTGCTAGTCCCTGGTCAAGGAAGTTTATAAAACTATAGCTGCTCTGC